ATTACATTTGTGATAAAATAAACTAAAAATTAGGGAGAGTCTTCTTTTTTTTTCATTCCAATCATATTTATTGTTAGCCAATCTGTTTAAAATTTTAAATAATGAAATTTTTAAGATGATTGTAAAAAAAACAAAAAATAATTAGATTAACTGCCATCTGATGCAATTTTGATTTCATTACAAAATTTTAAAAATGATTAAAGATAAACACTAAACACTTTTCTTAATCATTTTAGATAAAAGACGCGATGAAGATATTTCTAAATTTTATCTTTCTCTTCAAATTTACTCTTTCATTCTATAATGTTTTCATACAGTATGGTGTGAAATATCATTTCCTATCTAAAACTACAGTATGTGATGAGTATTCTTGTAGGGGAAAAGTTAAAATGACAGTAAAAGGGATAGATTATATACCAATGTTTAACAAGAAGGAATCAGCTAGGCTTAATTTTGAAGATATCTGTTTAGATTTGGGTTTTGATTATTTCAATACTTTTCTTTACGAATGCAATTTTGAAGGTTTTATGTTAATTTTTATGAAAAGAAAATAAAAAAGTTTTTCAAAATGTTTTCATGTTTGTGCATTATTTTTTTCTTTAAAGATTATGATAGTTATCAAAGAATTTATGCCAGTTGCATCTATCCTCCTCTACCCTGCTCTTATGTTACATATCGTCCTTATAGGTGGAAATATTTCGAACCTTGTATTCAATGCTTTAAGACTAATAGAACTTGTAAGCATACTTTTCAATAACCAATGCCAAAATATGATGAATGTCATCATTCATTGCCTCTCTCTCTCTCTCTCTCTCTCTCTTTCTCTTTCTCTGTCAGTCCTCTACACATTTCTAATTGATGGAGATAGACTTCATAAGAAAGATATAATTTATGCAAGATTTAATAAAACATCTTACAATTTCTATTTTGCAAAGAATGAAAGTTTAACAGAATTATGCCTTGATGGATTCTTTTTTGAAAAAACTGGATTTTTCCGTAGAAATGAAATTATTCATAAAGAATACATTTATACTTTTGAAGAGAATACATTTAAAAGAATTTCATTTAACAAAACTTTCAAATTCAATGTCACTTGTCCAGTTTCTACACAATTCAATATGAAATTTGAACTTTTTGATGCTAGTAAATTTTTTGGAAGACATTTAAAAAAGAAAGTTCTTGTAACCTGGTTAAATCATTCTCCAGTTGTAATTCAAATTCGAAAAAGAATCAAAAAACACGATCAGTATGATATAATAAGAACAGCGTGCAATCATTTCTCTCTTGTACCTGTAATCACTGAAAATCAAAACAACTCCATAGTTGTTGATACAAGTGATTTTTATTTGAAACAAACACTAATTAAATGTAATGAAGGTTCACTGACACTTTTTGAATGTTACTTTCCATTGAACAAGAAAAGAGACAAAATAAAATATACTCTACACTTTGTTTGCATTGAGGAATCTATTGCAAACTTTCCAAAAATATTTACTCAAGGTTTTATTCATCATATCAGTGTTTTTTCTTTTTGTTTACTAAAGCAGAATGTATATATACCAGTTTTGTTTCTCCATAGGTTTTGAAATATTATTAAAGGTTCAAGAGACAAAAATTAGCCAAGATGTAGAAATTTCAGGACCGTTGCTTGTAAAATACTATAATGTTTGGTTCAATGTACAAACATCATATATGCAGAGGCATACTGCAAATGTTAGTAAATCCAAAGAGATATTCTTTAAGAGCAAATAAAATATGCCTATTTATACAGGTAATATGTTCCAGTTTTGGTTATAATTCTGGATATTTATTTTCAACTAATTCTCAAGAAGAGATAATACTAAGAGGAACACTTTTCTCAATTTATTGTTCAAGAATTGTGTCGTCTATTGATGATTGTGAATTTGATAATTTTTTGGATGTAAATCATTATTATTATGAAGTTAATTCTTTCTTAAGATGTTCAATGGAAAAACAACTTGGTAAATCTTTTTCAGATTTGGCCATTTGGCCTAACACTTTTGTAATTTTTTCAGATTGTCCTCAAATAAATGATGCTCAAGAATTTTCAATTGAATATAACTGCTATTATGTTTTCTCGATTAGAACTGCAAAACACCCTAAAGCAATTAATGGGTTTTGTGAAAATTATGGATTAAAAGGACTTTCATTGCATTCAAATAATGAAGCCATCCATTTTTTAAAGTTAACAAAAAAATTTAATAAGAAAATATCAGTTCTAACTGGTGCAATACAATAATTGTATTATTAATTGAAAAATTAATTAGGATGGTTTTATATTTCAGTATTAAGTTCCAAGGAAGTTGAAGATGTTAGTGGCAATATTATAACTATAAATAGTTTTAATATATCATATGATATAATTGGTAATACTTGGACTGAAACAAAGTTAATAATTCATTCATAGCTTTTGGAGAAGAAAGAGCAGGAGTGTACAGCCGCCCGACAAAAATATCCATATAAGAAAAATACTTGGGGTTTACTTTAATCAAACTTCAACTCATTTGTCAATATGAAGTATAACAAACAGATAACAGAGCTGGTGAGGTGGTAAAATAGACGAATGATCTATGATGAACTCCAAGAGGATTTGAATATCCCTAAGTTTTCATTGCAATATATTTGTGAAAATAAAAGAGATGAAAGAGCCGATATGAGGGGGAGGCCATCAAGACTAGCTAAAAAAAACATAGTCTCTAATCAAGAGAGAATGTACATGACTGCAAGGTAGAAAGGTGTTTGTTAATGCCAACATACTAAAAAAAATTCTCAGTCTGGAGGTCTCAATAAAGAGAGTTCTGCATGAACCAGGCGAGCAGCTATCTTGCTATTCCCAAACTTTATCCTCTCTCAGCAAGTGCTAAAAGTAACATATTGGCAATACCAGGTGGATGGGTCCAGCAACAAATAAATTATGATAATGAGTCATCTTTACAGGTGAGATTTTCCTTGACAATCCAGATGTGGCAGTTAGGTGATACACTGAGACTGTCAAAGGACGAGCTTCTTATTGATGGATGAGGAGTGATAGTGTGGGGTTGTATATCCTCAGCTGGAGAAGTTTTCATACAAAGATTTCATTCATTCAGGGAACAATTTTCTAGTATTTAGGGGGAAAATTGGAGAAAACTTGATCTGGCAGAAGGACAATGCACCACCACACACTTCTAGTGTAACTTTAGAGACACTAAATGGAAGAAAGAGTGTGGCAAGTTATTGTATTGTAAAAATAAGGAAATGGAATTGACAATTAACTCTGTAGCAAACATAAAACATAGAAATTAAAAAAAAAACAATGACAAACTAAGTAACCAACCTTATATGATATATACTTTGATTTTTCATATATGAATATTTTTGTCTGGGGCTGTATTTCCTGCCTTATTTTCTCTTGATAATATATCCTCGCTTGTCTTAAATTAATCATAGATTGCATTTACATTTCAGTAATAAGAATAGACAGTTAATTATGGGAAATAGAATGGAAGAATTTGATAGAAATGATACCTGTCTTTTTATTGATGTTGGCTTGAGAAGTTTCAAAATTCAATGGCTGAAATGTGAAGTTTTTCCAGCTTTCTATGCATTTTGTAATATTCACATTGGTTAGTTGGCCACCTTTTAATAAACTATTAAAGACAATGTAATAAAAAATTTGAATTATCAAGATCCTCTACATAAACCACCCAAAATTGAAGAATGTAATAGTGTTGACACGCCATCATTGTGTAATGAATATTCTATTCTGTGTGAAATTGATATGATATGTATAAGTATTATCTTGAAATGTGATGGAAATTTTGATTGTCAAGATAAGACTGATGAAAAGAATTGCTCAACTATAAAACAAATAATTTATCCACAATCAAATCAGTTAATTAATCCATTTTACATGTGTAATTATTTTCAAGACTACTCTTCAGCTGAGGATGAAAAGTTTTGTTGTAAGTTATTGATTTATTCATTTGTCTATTCACTAATTAAATAATTAGTGTAACAAAATATTTCATGTTTCTTTCATTCTTTTTAACAGTTTTTCCAAATTGTAAAGAAAATGAAAGGTAAATTATATAAAGAATAAACCTTTATCATTTAACTTTATACAATAAAACAAATGTAAAATAGAAAATGCTTAAATCATGAATGCATCTCTATTGAAAAGTTTTGCGACAATGAACGGGATTGTATTGATTTTAGTGATGAAAAATGCTATGATAGTTTGTAAAATATATTCTCTGTTGTATATATATATATATATATATATATATTTGAGTCATATTAAAAGGGACAAAGGATATTTGACTCCATCATGCAATTACAGTTGGGTGAATTGCCATAATCTGTGATAAAAACATTGAATATTAAATTTTTAACCAGCTCCACACTGACACTTCTTCCCCAATAAATCTACATGTTGGTCTTACTTTAAAAAGTCAGGTCCAAATGTTACAAAATCCTAGAGACTTTTGATATGACCCTGGCATATATATATATATATATATATATTATATGTAAATCTAGACAGACACTGAATTGTTTCATTTAAATATGAAGAAGGTTGTAGCAAACACCAATACAAATGTCCAAATGAGAAATGTATTCCAAATTTTTATGAATGTGATTTTAAAATTGATTGTAAAATGAACACTGATGAACAGTTCTGTCCATTATATGATTTGGCAACTAATTTACTGAATGAAAAAAGACTTAATGACAGTTTGATGTATAATTCAAAGATTGGTAAAAATCACTCCTGTTTAGTCAGCTACAATTCAGCCGGATATCTTCTAACAAAAACTAATGCTCCTTTCAATGAACTAAAATTTTGTGACCAAGGTCATAATTGCCAATGTGGACAGCTGAAATGTAGAAAGCATAATTATTGTGTTAAAATTGATCAAATTTGTGATGGAATAAGCCATTGTTTAGAAGGAGATGATGAAATTTCATGTGGTAATAAAAATAAAATAACAAAGTAAAAATTAATAAAAATTTATTCATTTTTTAAAAGATCTATTCAAACCAAAAGGATTTTTCAAATGTAATCATAAAAGAAAATTTATTAAAATATCTCAAGTTTGTGATGGAATACTTGATTGTTCTACTGCAATTGATGAACAAATTTGCGATAGTTTTTTATGCCCATTTTCTTGCAGTTGTAAAAGTCCCCTTCAAGCAATCTGTACCAATATCATGCCATCATCTATTCCAGTTGGAATGAAATATTTAACAATAGTTAATCCAACTAGAATAAAAGAAAACAACAATAATAGAATACATTATGCAATGACATTTTTGAATGTATCGTATGGAAAATTATATTACAAAGATATATCATTGAAATATTTCCCAAATTTAAAAATCATTGATCTAGCTGGAAACAAATTAAGTAATTTCTCTAGAAAACTATTTGCCAATTCATTAAATTTACATATTTTGGACTTGAGTTGGAATTCTTTTCAAGAGATAACAAAATTTACATTTAAGGGCTTTAATTCAATTTTCCATCTAATTCTCTCTGGCAATAGAATAAAGTTGTTAAAGAATGATTGTTTTAGAGATCTTGAACATTTAGTATCTTTGGAATTGAATGGAAATAAACTTGAATCAATAGATAAACATATATTTCCAATTTCAAACAATATAAAAGAACTATCAATCTATTTGAAAGATAATTTTCTACATTCAATGAATAGTGAATTATTTCAAAATCTAAATAAATTAGAAAATTTGAAAACAAGCCATAAACACATTTGCTCCTATGCAAATATTTATAGAAAATTGGAAAAGTGTACTTGGATTATTTCAATTAGGCAATTTCAAAGACATTTCCTACTTATAACTGTTGTAAAGTTGTTACTATTGGTGATAAGTTGTATATCACTAATTTGTATATTTTTTCAAATTTTCTCAATGTATTATTTAATGAAAAGCAATAATTCTAAAGTATTTATTATGATTAATGATGTTATTCTAATATTTCATCTGACATTGTTAACATTTTCAATTGATTTTCAAAATGGCAACTTTAGTAAACATTACAATTTATTTATAAAAACAAAGTTATGTGCCATTTCTCATTTTACAATCAATTATTCAATATTGTTTCAATATCTTGTTCATATGTCATTTTATGCTTATAAATTAATATCATTGAATTTTAACTATAAAAGAATAGTCAGAATACAGATATTCATTCAGCCTATATGCAGCCTTACATCAATAATCATTAATATTCCTATATTAATAATTTTTGAGGTAAAGTTTAATATCAGATTATTTACAAAATATTTGAAATAAAAAATTTAAAAAACAGAAGAATTTACAGCAAAATTACATTCATGAATGTTCAATTCTACTTTTGACATTTAGGAAAAATTCATCTATATTTATCTTTATTAACTTGTCAATACTTTGCATATTTTTTCCACTTTTTAGTTTAAGCATTATACTAATTAGAAATGTGGTTTTTGAAAAATTATTAAAGCCTACAAATGAAAAAATTATAATAATTTATTCACTTTTACATTTAATAAATTTTCTCTCATCTCAAATTTATGGTAGGCAACATAAATACAAGAATACTATTTTCTAATCACTATTTTCTCTCTCTCTCAAACTCTAGATATTGTTTTAAAAGGAGATGAAAAACACATTGAATTTAAATTTATAAAAGTTGTATTTTTTCTACCTGGATTTTTTGCTTCTTTTTATATGTTGAAATTTCATGAAATTAAAGAAACATTTCACAAATATATTAAATTAAGAAAGTTTCAAAGTGAACAAAAAATCTATAAACAAAGAGTTTTTCCTGGTAAGATTAATCCATTGTTTTCTAAAAAGAAATTTCACTTTTTAATCTCATTTCAAAAAACACCAAATCAGTTATAGAGATTTGTGTATATTTTATTTCCAGAAGGAAAAATTTGCAATTCTCATTTAATAAATTACCATCAAAAATCTTTTTAGTCAAAAAAAAATTACAAGAAATTATTAAAGTAATAGTGTTTGTGCACAAAAGGAATGTCTACTTTCAAGGCAAAATTGAGCATATTCTTGAAATTGAAACAGTAAGGAGAAGAGATTGCATGATGTTCTTTCCTCTTCTTTCATTTGGTTTCTCTCTTTTATTAGGATAATGGAAATTTTACAGACGTATTAAAAAAGTTGGCGTCCATTGAAAATAAGAAAGAAAATATCAATGATTTTGGATTGCTGGTAAAAACAATATTGCAAAAATTTCATTTACAAAAACTTTCTCGTTGAATACAATTTTCTCAAAATACTATATTGCTAATGTGTTTAACACTGGGGCCGACAGAAAACGTCCCCAAGTGAGATTTTTGAAAGCAACATTTCGGATTGAAAAATGGTTAGGGTGAGTGAAGTAGCCATTGATTTGTAGTTAGGGGGGGGGTTCCTTCTAATGGTCAGGGGTAATCAAAAAGGTTAGGGAGTGACAAGGGCTAGGGTTAAATCATGCATTTGGGGACGTTTTCTGTCATAACCGTTTACACTAGATAATTAATTTATACAGTATATTAAAAACTAATTCTACTCGGTAAAGAAACTTTTGAATGTTTAAATTCTCTCTATCAACCAGTTAGAATAGTCTTGAAAAAGGTATCTGAAAAAGGGGGTTGATGGAAAATGTCTACAAATTAAATTTTTGGATATTGGAGTTTTGACTGAAAAATGATTAGCAGGAATAAGATAGCTATTGATTTTTGGTTTACAAAATCAACATTTTAACAACATGTTTATTGTTTGAAGATGGTGATGGGTCTAGTTCAACTAAAGCAAAATTTGAAGCAGAATCCTATATGTCTGAAAATACAAGAAATATAGGATTTAATGAGATTTCTATCTTTGCATTTGAATATGAAAATGGTAGGAGAATATTGTAAAAACAAAAAAATGTTTCTAAAATGTCTTATCCTATTGATTTACAATTATTATTAAACTTTTTCAGTTGTGGACAGAGAGGAAAAACTTTTAAACACAGCTTTCAAACATGAAGGAGCTAGCTGTAGTGCATCAAGTTCAAGGTCAACTTTTGAATGTATCAATGCACTAGACCGAGACAATAAGAAAGCCTGGAGTCCAAATTGTGATGTGTCTGACTCTTTAAAAGGGTCATGCATAAATCATTACATTGACATAGCATTAGCATTTCCTGCAGTACCAAAACTACTATGCCTATCAAATGGGTATTTAATCATTATTATTAACATAATTGTACATTTTTGGCTGTTATATCCACCATATTTATATATTTTTGACAACAGATACAAATTTATTAATGGAATAAAAATCATTAAAGTTGAATGGAGTTCAGGATTTATTCAGACTGTAAATCTTCCTGATGTTAATGCTGGTGAGAGATACTGCTTTAATTATACAAATTCTTTTGAAATAGAGCATGGACTAAAACTTACCATTATGGATGTTTACATTGACAAAAATGTTGGATTTCAATATGTGAATGTTTTTGTAAAAGGTAAAAAAAATATTCAGATTAGGGTCAAGGTTAGGGTTAATATTTATTAAAATAATCTCTCTATATAGATTCTACCAGTTGGATATATTTAATTCAATCTGAAAACTTTGTTGCTTATCACCTATCAGCTGACATTTACCAGAATTTTAGGGCTATAAAATTTCAGATTTTAGGTGTAGATCTAGGTCAATCAGATGACTGTTCATCATTTGTAATTGCCTTCAAAAGTGAAACATCAATCCAATAACAAGAAAATTTCATCAATGGAAGTAACTAATCAACCTTCAGTACAAATAAGTTCATTACCATTGTTTAGTTGTGATAATTGGAAAAATTTCTGGCTAGAAATTTCAGAAAATCATATAACATTTGGTTTGGGTTTGGAATATGGTATTTCTAGATTAGCAACTATCTCATCAGCCATATCTATCAATCCAAGACAAATCCTGTTTAAAAATGGTTTGTCAAATATGATGAATGGAGTGTAGTTTTGAGACTAAGCCTTCATTTTACCATTATTCTACAGATGGAATAAGACTGGAAAGCTTGTATCATGACTGCACTGAAAAAGAATATTATAAAGCAATTGATCCATTTACTCATACATGCATGCCATTAAAGAACAGAAACCATTTATTTTCTTACAAACAGTCAAATGGAAATGGTTTTAGAAGCAATAATACTTATTCTACAATTGTATTTAAAAAAATGATACACTTTTGGGGGATTTTAATGTGAATGTCTTCTTAAAGTTGGATAATATTAAAGGAAAATTATGTAAGAAGCAGCAGAAAATGATTAAAAAAAATTCTTTTTTCTATTTTCCATTTAAATGTAAAGCAAGTAGTAATAAAGAATTAAATTTGGAATGTCTCTTTGTGATGTTATAGTAACCTTTTAATCAGCTTTTTCCACAATCTCTCTACATTGCTATTCTTTAAAAAAAGATAAAAAATATCAATCTTCTGCTAGTGTGCTGTTTTTGCTCTCATCTTCTTTTTCCTATTCATCTGTGTTTTTATCTTGGTTGATGTATTATTGAACAACAACAGAAACATATTGCTTTAATTATTCATTTAGTATAGACTTATTTAAATGAAGAAGAAACTTGAACACCAATTCCTCTCAAGTAATTATTTATTGTATTTGTAAAAACGATTTTTAGAACATTTTGATAATGTTTTGCATAGATTTTATTATTTTTCACAATCATTTATATAATATCTTGAGAAAATTTTTATCACTTTTGATGATATTTCAAAATTTGTCACTGTTTTCATTCTCCAAATCAGCAATACCTGAATTCATGCCAAAAGTTTTTAAATAAAATTTATCATACTCATCATACCAGTTTTTCTTGTGATTTGTATGTTTTTCTTTCAAATTTATCTTCTGCTTTTTATCTTCTAAAGAATTGTTGGAAATTTTACAGGATATGGAATTTTTTTGAGGAAAAGGCTTCCATCCATCTTTGACAGTTTTCAAGGAAACTTTTTCAGCTGTTGATGGAAAATTTTTACTATGCAATATCAGTCGTCTTAGACGCATTAACATGTTTAAATATCCAAGATTTTTGGCATTGAGAATCATTTTTAGATATCTTTTCTCAGTTGTATATTTACAATTGATACAAGTATTTGCCGCTAAGTTTTCTTTAACCTTTTTGCTTGTAACAAAGCTCAATAACTGCCTTAAAAGTCTTCCAAACAGTTAAATAAATACACATTTTTTTATCCATATATTGATTATGGTTAATGTAGGCCTATGAGAAATTAGCATTTGTAAAAATTTTATAGAATATCCACTAACCATTTTCATACGTAATCATTACATAAGACTGTAATATTTTTTTTGGCAGTATTCCAAATTATGTTGAAATTTATATAATTTGCAAAATTATTCTTCTATGACTCATAAATTATAAAAAAATTCCTGTTCTTATTTTCGAGTTGAGTTGTTGTTGACAAATCTAATCAAGGTGAATTACATTCACCTACTTTGTAATCCAATGCAATGAGATTGAACTTTTGACCTCTCACTCTGGAGCAGTTTTCTTCCATGTCCTTCCAACTCTTGTTAGCAATCTAAAGGTCATTAGTTAAAAAAAGCTGAATCAATCAACTTGAAGAAACTGTTTTACCAGCAATTCTGTGGATTGCATATAATTGATTTCCAATATCCAATCACTGCTCTCTCTCTGTCTGTCTCTTTCTCTCTCTTCCTACGCTAATTTAATCTTAGATAAGTGTACCTTGGGATTTATTGTAAAAAAAGGATTTTAAAATAGATAACAGTATCTTTACTAAACATCCTTTAATTATACTATGCTTTAACATTGCATACATACAGTAATTATCTAAAAATCTTTTGGCTCTTTGCCAATATAGTAACATCTTCATTTTCTTTACGGAGGTTATTTGCGTAATACAACTAGTGCCATCTGCTTTGTATATTCTGTATAAACTAAGACTAAAGTATTTTTTCTGACTTGCTGTTCTTTGAGAAATGATGAGTGTTATTTCCTGCCATGAGGTTGTAGTTAAGTACTGGTCCAAATAGAACAAAATTACGAGTAAGCCATTTAGAAGAGGTGTAGAATGGATGGAAGATGAATATAGAACCAATTCATAAGAATATTATAACTGTACTCGGGAGTAATATTATAGCTGTTCACTAAGAGCCTTCATTCAGGACTTAATTCCTGTTAATACCTACACCCTGCCTTTTATACAATTCCTTAATATTGGCTTATGCCTTAGGTGTCAACAACAAGGGTCTACTTCCCAGGTAAGGACTGGTCACAACAAACAGGGTCAAAGGTTATCATATTATGCAATAGAGATCTGAACAATAACAGGTTTGTGTACTTAACAGTTAATTTTTACATCATATTTATTTAAATAAACAATTGTTGTTGTTGTTGTCAACATGTTTAGTTAAGTAACATCTTATCTTTTGCCTGTAAAACAGTTTGGATTCTGGCATTTGGGTAACATCTACCTTAGATTTTCTTCAACACTTTTATCATACAGTCAGTATCATTTATATAATGTCTATTAAAAATAGTTCCAAAGTGTACAATGAGATTGTCAACATTTTAAAGTTAGTTCCCATAAAAAGACAATGGATATTGTTCAAAATGCCTATTGGGTTTTTAGTGATGCCTAATGTTATGTAAAACTTGGAAAGAAAATCTGATATCAAATGGAAGAAGAATTAGAAAAAGTAATACCCTGCGTACAAGTTCTTATTCATCACGTGACTTTCAATATTTATAGAAGATTTTTAGAATGCTCATTTCTACACTTAGAAATAGCCATTGTACATTTAGATATGATGACATATCAATATTATGTAGATTTTAGTAATAGAGCAACTTTAGAATAACTTCTATTACCTAGGAATTAGAATTATAGAACTTCAGAAAGGCTTTTTAAATTTTTCAACACATTTTTATAAACATTATAATAATTATAATTGTATGTAACAGAATGGTCTAGTTCATCTCTAGTAGATCATATATACTGGTTTTACAAGATTTTGCCTTGTATCAAGTCTGCAGTTTGACTTGAGTTTGACACAATCTCAAGTGAGACTCAAGATCAGCCACCTCGATGTAGTATAAACATTCACTCCTTCTCTTTCTCACACAGTCATACTGACCTGTTGATATTGTCAACTTGTATTATTTGATGTCACCTCATATTGATTAATATGACCACACAGTTAGTTAGTTAATATATTTTAGTCATAAGGAAAATGTCTATAAACAGAACGTTATATACTAACGTTCCGTTCACATTACATGATATGAGTGAATGTGTGTTAGTGTGCGAGTGTCAGTGTCTGAGCGTCACTTAAGAACGGAGTTTGACTTAGCCCAGAGTCGGGACAGTCCAACTTGATGTTATGCCACATCGTTGATAACGACGTGGCATGAATGTGGCATGAATGTGGCAATACAGATGAGCACAGTCAAACACCCAATTAAGTGACACTAACAAAGTATAAAAGGGAGTGAATGTAATAGAACGGTGTGAGAGACCAAAAGAATATCAAATAAAATTTATATGAAATTCTTAGGAATTTCGTGCTATAAGCCAAAAACAAAATCTTATAAAGTATAAATTTTATTTGGTTCTGGAACAACTAGTGATGGCAAGGAACCCACAAAAGATGAATGTGGCACAGAAGCTGGAAACAGTGAACAGGTGTATGGGACACACCAAGAGAGGTCTGGAAGATGGACGCTACACAAGAGGTCTGATTAAGATGAGATGCTTCACAGCAGAGAAGTTGCTGGATGAGTGGCAAGAGTCATTCACTGAAGAAATGGAAGACCGAGTAGCAGAAACCAGAAGAAAAATAAAGAAATATCTTAAGACAGTTGAACAGGGTTACTCACCCAAAGTCGAATACCCACAAGGAATGAATGTGAGGGATGATATTGAGAAAGAAGATGTCGAAGCTGACATCAAAAATATATATATAGGAGCAGCTGGAAGCGTGTTTGAAAAGAATAGTTCAAGAAGTAGCAGTTGCTCTAGTGAGAGAAACACTTCCTCAGGAAAGAGAAAGAGAGAGATGTATGGAAGCATAAATGATGAAGACGGTATAGAAATGGCAGCTGAGCAGGCAAAGGATGGAAAAAAGAAACCCATTAGGCCAGACACACAAAGCCAGGCAGAAAGGCAAAGCATAAGCATTTTTGATAAAATGGTAGAGGACAGTGACGATGACGAAGTTGATACTACCGCGAGAGGGGATGATACTCTCCCATATGACATGAATAGAGAAGGATGGTGGATGGGAGAAAAGGAGAATGTATTGGCTGAGTTAGGCGAAATGATAGAAATGGAAAGAAGAGTGAGAAAAGATGAGACAGCTCGATTCAAAGCCAGACAAAATGAGAAAGAGAACAGGCTAAAGGAAGAGCTGGAAGAAAGAGATCATCAGTTGTCTGTGTTGGTGAAAGCTACTATAAGCAGTAGAGTAGAAAGCATGGAAGCAGAGACAAGAAAGGAAAATAACAAATTACATGAAAAATTGGAGATGGTCCAGGAAAAAATGGAAAGGCTAGAGGCCCAAATGGCAAAGATGACAAGCGAGCAAAGAATGGGTACGCCAGCAAAAACAGAAAGAAGAGAAAGTATAATCCCGAATACCACAATTCTGTTCGAAGGAGAGCCCGAAATGTTTGAAGGTTTTATAGTAAGGCACGAAAGCATTCTGGCTAGGTATGGCGAGGTTGAGGAATGGGAGAAATTTGACTGTTCTCTTGGTCTACTTTACTGGCCCCCTGGAAAGCCAAAGTCAAGAGGCAATATAGTAGAGTATCTCATGACAAGACATGTATTTGGGGCAAAAGATAGTCCTTACGTAGTATCAGCAACCCTGAGAAAGGTGTTGAAGGCCTCTCGCTTGTCAAGAGAGGAGAGGGAAGAGATAACAAGAAGTTTTTATGTGGACGACCTTATATTGGCATCCAATGACGAAGATTACCTAAGGGAAGTGTTAGGGAAGGTGTTGAAGGCTCTCGATAGCTACTTCACGCTTACAAAGCTGGCGATGAACTCGATAGAAATTAGAAAGACCATCCCACCTGAAAGGAGAATTTATGATTACCCAGAAAAGGTGTTGGGCATTAAATATGAAGGAAAAGAGGATAAACTGTATTGGATAATACAAAAGAAGACATTAGAGCTCAAGGCTACTTGGAGAGACATGTTAGGGGCAGTGGCAAGCATTTATGATCCCCTTGGATTAATAAACATTGTGACCAGCAAATTAAGGCTCACATTTTCACAACTCAGCAAAGGCATGAGCCATTGGAAAGAGGAAATACCAGAAGAGAAGAGAAGAGACTGGAACACAATCGTAGCCAGGTTGCCTAGACAATTAAATATAGCTCGCTACGCCGGGAGCTCCAAAGGGTACCACATCTACACTGACGCCTCAGATACAATGTTGGGAGTTGCAATCTACTCATATGCTAATGGAACCGAAATGATAATGAGGTCAAAGGCCTTGATGGTTAGACCAGCCATGAAAACAATGCCAAGGCATGAGCTGGCTGCACCATTACAAGGGGTGAGATTGGCACTGGAGGTGAGCAAAGGGGTGGCGAGAAGGCCTGCCCTATTTATGACAGACTCGGAAGTGGTATTGAGGTACATCAAGAATGACGAAATCCCAATGGAAAAGTATGCACGAACAAGGGTGCTGGAGATACGGCAGTACACAGACCCAGATCAGTGGTACCATGTGAAGAGCGAAAATAACCCAGCAGATTGGTTAACTAAAATACCAGTAAAATTCAACCAGGAAAGGTATGACAAATGGGCAAAGAGAGAAATAACAATGACACAACAAGGACAGCCATGCAAGGTACTGTTGCTGAAAAAACCAGCCAATAATGAGCAGGACTTTGCAAAGTTCCTATCCCAGAGAGAGGGGAAGGAGCTGACCAATGTAAATGACATCAACCTGGAAGTAGAGAAAGCCATATGTGAAGCTCAAATGGAGATAGACCCAAAAAGACTGGCAAAATATGCGATAACAAGGGGACAGGACAGAATGAGAATCCAACTCAGACGACTGGGGAAGAAGGAGAGCTACCTTGAGAACCCTAGGATCTTGGATGGAAAGTCGACGATTGGAAAATTGATGGTGAAAAGGATTCATGAGGAAAACTGCCACGCCCCCCTGGCTAGAATGAGAGTAATCTTAAGAGAGACTTATTGGGTACTGAATGAGGTAGCTACCATAAGACGAGTCATTGCGGAATGTGATCAGTGCAGGAGGTATAGATCTATAATCCGTTATGAGAAAAGAGGCAACAAGCCGTACTCCTTTCAAATTGAAAATGACCTAGAAATATTTAAATATATTGGCATTGACCATTTTGGCCCCTTTAAGCTCAAACAAGGCGGCAAGCTCTATGTATTGCTACTTATATGTCTGCAGAGTAAAACTGTACAGCTGGAGGTAACAGAGGGTCTAGACACAAACTCCACCAAGCTGGCATTGGAAAGAGCATGGGCAAGGGAGAGGAGACCATCCTTAATAATATCTGACAATTATAGGACCTTTAAGGCTATGGCTCAGGAAAAAAACCAAATCGATTGGCAATTCACGGCACCAAAGGCGCCCTACCAAGGAGGCGTGTGGGAGGTAGCAGTTAAGGCAGCTAAATATTTGGCCAAACCATATCTACACAATTGCTGGTCTCACCAGAAATGGCAGACACTGTGGTCGCTAGTAGAGAAGGTAATAAACGATAAGCCATTACAGCAGCCGCTAGATGACCCTGACCAGATATTGGTAACACCCAATTTACTAAAGAAGAGACAACGGGAGCTACGTTGGAATGAAAGCAAATGGAGTCAGAAGAGTTGGAACGAGATACAGCGACAATGGAAAAGGATCTACCTGCAAGAGCTGGTCAGACAACAGTGGAGAACAAAGGGAGGAAGAAAGCTGCAAGTCGGAGACAAGGTCCTAGTCACTGACAAACAAAAGGCTAGGCATAGATGGGTGACTGGAGTATTAACAGAAATCATACCTAGTCATGATGGAGCCATGAGAAAGTGCAAGTTGAATACAGCAAGGGGCCCGCTTATCAGGGCTGCAGGAGAACTACTGTTCGTGGGAGAGGAATTTCGTGCTATAAGCGAAAAACAAAATCTTATAAAGTCTATATACAGCATTTACAATCAATTAAATAATAAAAAAATTATGGACTTATGTGACAAACTTTAACATTGTTAATTAATGAATTATTGAATGCAATTTTATAATAAAATGTTGATATAGTAGACATTTGCTCCAAATTGCATGAGAAAATATATCTTTGATAGAAATTATTGCTAAAAAATGCTTTTTCCAGTTGACAAGGACCTTTAAATTCGTCTCTTTTAAACTCTTTGTAAAATACATCAACATTCAGTAAATTTCTGGATTGTTTGTCAAAATGTAAAGTAATTTCTGGATTGATTGTTTCAGCACTAAATGTTAAATTACTAAATCTGTAATTCTCAATGATTGTTGAAGTAGATGATAGAATTTTACAAGTAGAATACAAATTATCTTGAAGGTAGGTATTGGTTTCTTCATAACATTTTAAACTTTCATGCAATACGATTATTTTTCCTTCTGTTTAATTTTAATGGAGAAATTGAACAAAAAAAAATATGTTTTATAAATAAGATCATGATAAAAAATTCACCTAAATCATTAATTTTCAGTATATGATTGTGTTGTGAAAGAGTATTCCTTACTTCTATTTTCTTTGACAAACCATTGATTTCAGGTGGTTGATGAGTAGTTATTAGTGTATTTTTATTATATAGCAATCCTTTACCCAATTTGATAGCATCATTTGAAGCAGTTATCCAGAAATGATTCCATTCATCACAAATGATATATTCTTGAATTGTGTCTTTATCATAAAGATCAGTTTCTTGGGAAAACATTACAATATAGCTTTCAATTAAATTTGATAAGAAAACTTGAAAAGTTGTTCTATTGTTGTAAGAGAAAGCTAAAAGAAAATCACCACAATTATTATCTACAGAGCTTCTATGCGCAAATAAACTGAATGAAATTGCATTAAAACTGTTTTGAACATAAGGCGGAAGTGTGTACTGTTGAAATTCAGTACCTTGAATAACATATTCTTTCTTTTCCAGACCTAAAAGTTTATATATGTTGGGAAAAAATTATTTTTCATAAAAACTACTACAAAACAAACCTTTGGCAAACACTTGAACAAGACTAAGCCCAATATTTTGAGTTGCATATTTTTCAACAACTTCAACATATAATTCAGTTTCAATAAACATATTTGAATATTTGAAACATTTCTGATGTTTATTTGTTTTTAAAGCAGCATATTCCTCAATACCAGAACTCCATTTTACTTTCAATTTTGTAATATACTTATTAGAAGTTTGTCTATTGGCGAAACAATAAACAATAGGAATTCCAAAGATTTTAAAGGTAACTTTAAGATATTGACCAATGCAAGTAGTACCCTGACAATTACCAACCCATTCTTCATAGCCACCAAAAGCTCCACTAACAAAATCTATTGCATTTTTACAAAGGTATTTACTACTGTATACGGATTTGGCCAAACAAGTTGCCCCGTTATTTGCTGCGGCTATATCTGTATAAAAGTCGCTATCAACTATACCTTCTGCAACATCTACAAACAAAAACAAAATGGCATTACCAAACTTTTTAAAAGGATAAAATTATTTGTGTACCTTCATAGGCAAAAATCATAATTGAACTAAAACCAGTATTGTGAGTACTTGCTGATCTTTTTGGTATGAAACTCATTTTTTCAACATTTATACCGTAATTGTTTTGAGGTAGAAAGCATTCAATATTTTTTATAAATTTTTCAAGTTTCAATATCAAATGCTTATTGGTGTTGAAAAAAACTTTAACACTTAGAGCTTTATGTTGAACAGACATAAAAGTTTGAGATATACAAAATTCAGAAATATTATATAATTTTTGAAATGAAATTGTAAGTTTTGCAGTGTTACAATCTGCGCTGCACAGGTTTAGCCATGAAAACATGTTTATCCAATGAGGATACATAACATGAGTTGGCTGAAATGAGAAATTTGAAACTGGTGATCTAAAATAATCAGCAGTGCAAATAGAATTCGATGTAAAATCAGCCAGATTAATTAACTTTTGATTTTCTGTAACAATGATGAAATTAATGATAGAGGATTAGAAAGAGAATCTATGAACATAACACTTGCTTGTATTGCTGTAAACAGTGAAGAAACTGAGTAATAGATACATTTGAATATTAAACTTTCTTAACATTCTGCTGAAATAAAGCATTCTCTCTTCTCTGACAGAACTCACTACTTTACTAGTAGTGTTTTTAATCATAACATTTACAGTAACTATGCATTTGGTCCTATGAAATTTGAATTATTTATTTCATGAATTTTTTAAATATTTTTTAATCTTCTTGTTTGCATTCAAGATTTATTCCAGTTTGTTAAAAATTCACTAGCAATTGTAGTGATCTTCTACATGGCAATCATAGAATTCTGTGAAATAGTTGTAATGAAGACCAATACATAGGCCTAGTTTCTACATATTAATCATTATTATTACCAATTCAAAGAAGTTATTCTGTATAGCTTAATATCTAAACTAAAAATTTGGGGAATACGAAGATAATTAGACATACGTAAGATATTGATAAATATGTATGAATAAGCATATTATGTAATTTTTGTTTTAGCTGTAAGGCACAAAGGATTAAAACTTTCAGTGAAAGGAAAGTGGGGGATACAAAATTGGAAAAAATATTTTTATCTGATGATTACAGATTGAGCTGCACCCTAGGAGGAGGAAGTTTAGCTGTCATCTATGAAAAACTTATTTCTATTCCATAAATTCTCTAGATTGTCTTTCAAAGTATCATGTGACTCTTCAAGTCAGTAAAATAATAACATGTCGAAAATTGAAAGAGGAGATTAAAAGTCTGCAATACTAATTCTTTGGATGCTGGTTAAAAAACCAAATTGGATTGTTATAAATTGCTATTTAAATAACAATTACATTTTTCACTTGACTACCAGTTTTAAATACCAAGTTTCCAATCAATAAACACACAATAACTGAGGTCTGGTGCAAACATACCATAGAACATTTTAGGAAAGTGTTAGTTTGAAAATTTGGATGGATTTATTGTTAGCCCGGTTCCAATGTAGGGTTAAGGAATATAAATAACACAGATATTATACTCAACTTTAAAGATATTAAGGCAAGCTTCAACCCTCCAAGGGTACATTCTCACCCCCAATCAACCTATTTTTTTCAATGCTTAGATCTTTTAAAATAATATATATAAATTGTATTTTTTTTTTTTTTACTTTTAGGTTCAAATCTAGTAACTAAAACTTACTTTGAATGTTCAATATTTTTCATGCTATATGGAATAATGAAAATGTTCATTTTTTAACAAGAAAAAAAATATTCTTTTTCTTAAGAATGTTAGAAAATAGACACTTTAATTTCTTTAAAAAAACCTCTTTTAAAGATGTCATTCTTTGCAAACTACATTTAAAATATCTTTACAACTAAGTGAATGTAAGATTGATTCATTAAGAGTGTTTGTTTGAGAAATATTTCATGAATGACAATACTGTTGTTAAGTGCAAATCTTTATTGGAGGATTGTTGAAAACAACAAATGAAAATATAGAAAATTTATGCAAACATTCTATTATTTTTCAATCATTTCCATGATTTGAGAGATTTAGCAGAGACATTGCTAAACATAGAAGAAACAATAGGCACCATATTTATTGAGCCTTTCTTCTTAAATTTCATTCTTTAAGCATCTGTATCAAAGTATGAATTTTGAGTTCCACTTAAAATCCATTAAATTTGTAAATCTTTGGATTATCAATAATCTCCAATTTGTTGTAAAAGTGATCCAATTTAAAGCAAAATAGGTGTCTTTTGGCAAAATTCAAAAAAATGAAACTATTCACAACTGTCAGTGTTTTTACTCCATCACACAATAAGTAGATGATAGATCTTAATTGTCTTTGAAAATAGTTCCAAAATGAAGAAATGCCCACAGTTCAATAAAAAGCTGGGCCAAATTGTCTAAAAATATAGAATTACCTGAAAAAAATTTAAATCAAATAGTTTGAAGAGTTGAATGACACAAGACACATTCTTAAAAGATAATGCACAATCTTTTTATAATTTTAATAAAATTAATTGCAAACAATTTATGTTGAGATTGCGAATTCTGGATCAAGTTCTGAAGATTTAACTCCTATTTACTTACATCAGACTTTAATGGTAAAAGCAAATGAATTTTTGATAATTCATTAAACTGATGTTAATGTTGAAACTAATAATCAATATAAAGTGCACAATATTTTGGTGCTGCCCTCTCTTATCTGATTTACAAACCCATTTAGTGATCAACACAAATTAGATAATTTCAGTTTATAAAAAATATTATTAACCAACCCCAGTGCCTTTTTTAACAGTTGAAACTATTTTTTTACTTTAATTCATCTGAATAACCAACTAATGAGCTACATTAAGAGATAGCCGGACAAAACATCCCCTTTTTTTGCAATTTTGCAAATCATAAATAATTCTTCTTTATTTTGTTATTACATTTGAATTGGGAAGTTTTAATGACCATTGTTCAAGTTTAAAATATATTTTTGGTGTTAAGTTACATTGTTGAAAATTTAAATTCTTTAATGTAGCCAATGAGCGAGTGAGACCATTACAAATATCAAACACTCCATTTCCTACATTTGAATTTTCTCCAATATCAATACTTTCCAATTTACGACAATTCTGAAAAAGATTTCCAATTTGTTTACATTCTTCCATAGTTATGTCACAATTGCAAAAATTTACAACTCTCAAACTATTGGCTGAATGCAAAAGTCCTTGACAAATATATAGTAATCCATCTACCATACTGTTATTGTCTGCTAGGATAAACTCTTCAATATTTGAACAATTTTTCAAAAGTGATCCAATCTTTTTGCTCTGTTCTTCATTTAAATCACAATTTTCGAAATCAAGATGTTGTAAAGCATTTGTAGATGGAAGTAATTTATTACAAATATTTAACAATCCATTTTTCATCTCTCTATTACTGTTCAGGTGAACTGAGTTTAAATTTGAACAATTTTTAAACAGGTTTGCAATACTGTCACAATCTTTCTGATTTAAAAAACAATTCCCAAAATAGACATTCTTTAAGCTGTTGGATGATTGCAACAGTCCTTCGCAGATGATTTGTATATTAGCATCCTGCATAAAATTATTATCAAAATCAACTGTTTCAAGTTTTGAACAACTTTTAAATAAATTTGATAATTGTATAGATTGCATTCCATTTAGGTCACATGAGCCTAAATAGAGATCCTCTAAAGTATTAGATGAAAATTTCAATCCTTCACAAATTCTATAAAATTCATTTTCCAAATTACTATTGCTGCTTAAATCAATTACCTTCAAATTAGGACATTTTGAAAGTAGGTCAGCTAGATTTTGACATTCTGTACTATTTATATTACAATCATTAAAATATATATGTTTTAAAGTATTTGATGAATGAGAAAGACTTGAGCAAATAGCATTCAATTCTTGACCAATTTTTCTATTTTCTTCAAAGTTTACTGTTTCCATTTGAGTACAATTGTTGAATAGTTTTTCAAGACTTTTTAATTGGTATTTTAGCAAATTACAATTTCCAAAATTCACATCTTTTAAAGTATTTGATGAAGAACAGAGTCCTTTAGAAATGTCTAAGAAGCCATATTGCATATTTTTATTTCCACTAAGGTCAATGAGTTCAATATTTGAACAATTTTTCAACATATTCCCAATTATTTTACCTTTATCATTATCTATGTTACAATTAGTGAAAAAAAGGTTTTTCAATGTATTTGCAGAAGGAGAAAGTCCATTGCAAAGATTTAACAATTTCAATTTCTTTTGTGAATTTCCAGTTAGATTAAAAGTTTCTATTTTAGGACAATTGGTCAGAATAGATTCTATTCTGCAACACTGATTTGCATTTAATGAACAATCAGCAAAATTAACTATTATTGATTTTGCAGTAGATCGCGGAATATTATCAATATTTTCCAATGTAAATTCTTCAGCTGTTGGATTACATTTTTCTACCAGTTTAGTTTCTTGTTTTGTTTGATTTTCAGTAGAATTATTTGCTTTAAGGCTACTTTTTACATTTGAATAATCTCCTTCAAAAATATCCCAAGTAATTGATATATTTTGATGAATATTCACATCAATCATCTTGATATCTTCTAGCAAATTTTTAACATCATTTTCCTGTTCAAAGATATCATTAAAAAACATCTCTCTTTCTTTTATTGTATTTTTCAACTTTTCCTTAATTGATTGAAATTTTTTAAGTAAATCATTTATCACTTTTGTTTCAGTTTCTTCAATTTGTTTTAAAACACTATCATTATTTTTTGATTCTTTTTCGACAAAATTTCTTATTACCAGTTTTCTTTGGTTATGTTTCTCCATTGAATAAACAATACATGTTGAATGATTCTCTTCCCAACAGAGAACACACATATCTTCTGTATTATGAGTTTTACAATAGAGGGATGACTCTTTTTTATGATTTCTGCAAAAATTATTACTTAAATTTTGTGATACTTGTAATGATTTGCTAAGTCGATTTCTTGGTAATTTTTGAACTTGACCTTCAGGAAGTTGATGATTTACTCTACATTCTGGGCAAATAACTTTGCAATTAACAACCATTAATCGATTTAAACAATTAAAACAGAACGTATGTTGACAAGGCAGAATTCTAGGATCATTTTCTAGCCAACTTTCCAAGCAAATGGCACATGTAAATTCTTCTTTATCGATAAAGTATCCTCTGGCAGCCATTTTTAATAATTCCCCCTAAAATAGAAAGTAAAAATAGAACAGTACTAAAAATTTCAAAGAATAAAATGGCAAAAGTGGGTTGGGACTTTTCATCCTGGACATTTTTTATGAGTTTTTTGTTGAACCATATACTTTTTTGATCATTCTTGTTCACTTAGATATAATGATATATTAATATTTAGATTTTAGATATAAAGGTACATTAGAAAGACTTCCATTTCCTAGGAATTAGAATGGTGGAACTTTAGAGAGACCTTTATTATGTAGAGGGAGCTTTTAGTACTTTAGAAAGAACTCTATTTTGTAGGAAACTGACTCTTTGACCATAACAGGTTGTGGGTGAACTTTGGTAAGTTGATAAATGTTTGGAAAAGATGAATACTGTTTTGAAGAAGCAGAAATTCCTACAATTAATATAAAAAATATTTCTGATTATAAGTATCAATAATTATGCCAAGTATATCTTTTGCCAGGCATAGGACGTTTTTTCCCAACCCCTTAAACGCGTATGAAGATTTTTTTTAAGCAGTTTACTAAACTATTGAACTCTCATATTACTACCTGCTTAACCATTATTGTTTTGAATAAACTGTCTTAATTGAAACATTTGTTATAACTTGCAAATGCATAAATTTGCTAGCAAGAGCAGTACACTGTGTATATCCCAAATCAATGCAAATGATCCTTGTAGATGGGTTACTGAACCTGCAGAGAGCCTCACTACTGAAAATCCATGTTCTGGAGGTAATCTTAGATTAATGATTGATTTTTTTATTAAAAAATTTTAACACAGTAAGTCCTCGTACATTTGGAGATCCTCACTTTGAGCAAAAAGTATTTGATAGTGTAACTGGAGAAAGTTTAGACATTTGCTATGATGTGACTGGCTCAAGTGGACAAATAATTAATGTACTAGATGACAAATACTCCAGAACAAAGGTTGAAGGAATCCTTAAAGATGACTACTATTTTCACAAGGCTATAATTACTCATCAAGGAAAAAGGTTTGTTGTTGATGTTGATTACATAACTCTACCTGAACAAGAAACATATAAGTGGGAACCTACAACAAAAGCTGTTTACAAATCGTTGTTTTTTTCAATCTCAAGGAATGAAGTAGTAATTGACACTTCACTTGGAATATATAGTATTAGAATTATTATTCAGAAGGCAAACAAATCTTTAACAGGAACTTATCTGAACATAAATTTTAGGGGTTTGAGATCTGACCTGAAGAGATATGGTGGAATTATTGGAACAGCCAACAGAAAGAATATCATATTATTGGATTTCGTTCAGAGGAATGAGAAAACTACATTCAAAATTGACAACAAAATTGTAACAGCTAGACTTTCAAACAGATTCTCACACAGCTGTTATCTTTTTAATTTGGAAGATATTTTCACACAAAATGAACTTTATAATTTAATGTATTTTAGAAACTAATCTGCAATTTTTATGATATTTTATGGTGAACACCTGTACAAATAACAAATAGAACAAATTTTAACAGTTGTATTTACTCTAAAGATTATGGGCATTATATCTTGTAATGAAAGTAGGACCACCAGTTGAATATCTTATTTTCTATTCAAAATCTGTAAACTATATTTTCTGAAGAGATATTTTGAACTAAATATAGACCACCTATTATGTTATTTTTTTTTCAATGCTTAGATCTTAACTTGAATAAAATATATTTGAAAATAAAACTTTTCTACTTTTGTTATTCATATTTATAAATTTTCTATCAGTATTTACAATCCTCATTTTAGGTGTGGAAACTCATCTGTTAAATACAACCAAACATTATTAGTTTGAATAAAATAAATAGGTCTATATGTTAAACTTGCGCTTATTATAATCTACATTTTGTGAACAAGGCATATTTCTGCACTTTTCATACATTCTTTCTTATTGTTAGTGAAATGGTTGCTGACTTCTAGTTTAGATTCATACAGATAATAGGACAACAACAGCTGCAAATATTTCTTCTTTAGAATAATTTTGAACTAAAAACAGATCATAATTGTAAGCATTTTTTATGTTAAATAGTATTGAGTTTAGTTGACTGTTTTATGGGGGTGACAGAAAACATCCACAAATGAAGAGTAAATGTGCACATGGTATTAAAAAAATAATTAAATAAGAAAAGAGACGATGAAATGAATTAATATATTTTTCTTAATTGATTAAATACTAATGATCTGAGAAAATGAAAACTATGAAATTGCAAGTAAAAAAGTTTATTTAAGAACATAATTTTTCAAATGACTTGAACATTTTTCATATTTTTAATACTTTTGAATTAATACTGCACATATTTAATAATATAAAGCAGAACACATCTCAACAAGTTGACTTGCTGTGATGTCACCAACTTTAAAGTTTTCCCAAATGGAAAACAGTTCCTTTTGAATTTCTGTGTAGACTTTTTTTTGCATTCTCAATATCTTCTTCTCACTTAATAATTTTTCATATACAGAAATTAACTCAGCCTCTCTCTCTTTAGGATTGATTGGTTAAACACAGACCAAGTTTCTGGAGGCCAAAAGCTATTTTTTATCCAATTATCCTCCACATATTCTAAGTTTATTTCTTTCAGCCAGCTCACTTTTTATTTTGTAGAATTGGTTTGCAATCAAAGAATGAGGGAGGTAGGGCAAAGCCATAATCATTTTCATTGATTGCCATTCTCCTACTCTCTTTTTAAATTCTGGGCTGTAACCCAGATCCTAAAAGTAGAATAATATACTTGGATTAAATTTTTACATTTATTAGTATTATTTCTAACCTGAATTTTTCTAAAAATGGCTTGTGACCAATGAAAAGAACAACCAACCATTGTAACATCTGGCCATGTATCTCTGATACTTTTCCAAATGGCCTTCTCATAGTCCAAAACAATTTTTGAACAGAGATGTCACCAGTTAATTCATTTACAGCCTAAATACACAAACTATCATTGATTTAAGTATTTAAAAGTATAACTTACCTTGAAAAGTAATTTATAAGCTTTTTTCTTTTTTGAAGTTAAGAATGAAAAAAGCAATGGCACCTGCTTCAACTCTTCATTTTTCCTTAAGAATCCATGGAATGAGAACATTTGGAGAAATGGATCCTTGGCAATTTTAAAAGTACCATCCACATACCATATTTTAGCCTTACACAAAAGATTTAACTGATGGTCAGTTGCAAATACTAATATTCTTTGATTGTTTAAATAAATATTTTTCTTTAGAAATCCCAATTGTATAAAAGTCAAATCAAGTTGAAAGTTGACATCATCAGGCTCAGCTGGTTTATTTTTGGCTACTTCTTTGCAGTTGTGTAAATTCCCATATGGATATTTTAAAAGAGTGTCTTCTGCAATCCTTTTTCCAGATGATTTATTATCACTAAGGCACTTCTCTTTGATATCTTTTCTAATTATAATCTGCTTTTCTGCATTTTTCAAAGGTGAATGATTGTGTTTTATTTTACCAATTACAAAATCACTTCCTTTTTGGTTAATACTTGCAGAACACTTTCTATTTTTGTTACGAACTGAGCAAGTCCAAATTGTAGCTGTTTTTCTTTTCATTTTTATGTTAAAAGTATATCCTTTGTGGATGAGAAGATCTTTTCCTTTTTGATTGCCATTTGGTAAAATTTTGAAATGTAAATCATCAGTGCAATAATCTCTTTGACTAGTATGACTTTCAAATGAATTCTCTTGAAAATCTTGAACTTCTGTAGTTGATGTATCCATTGTGGTTACTTCAATTTCATTGTTGTATGTAATTTCATTGTCATTAATCACATTTCCAGTTTCCAATGGACAGTCAACAAAACTCTCTGAACTAGTAAAAGAGAAAGACAACCTCAGTTCTTCTGTAGGTTCAATGAATTTCTTTTCTTTTTCATTATCAATTCTTGTTAGCAACACAATACAGTTTCTGTTTGATATTTGATAACACATCAAACATAATGGCGAAGTGCTGGTTGCATCTGAAAAAAAATTAATAACAGACAAAATCAAACTTTGGATATTTCATACCTTGAAAACACTTAATATGACAGTTTTTAAAGCAAAGACAACATATGCCTTTGATTTGGTTTTCAATGAATTCATCTTGACAAATATAACATGTATTATCCATGTTTTTAAACTTGGGATAGTTTTCTAGAAAACTTGGAAAATAATTTATATTAACAAAATACCAGAAATTAGCAATTATCTATAGTATATACATTATTCAATAAGAGAAATCAAACAGTCAACTTTATTGACAAACCATGCCTTGTAATTAAAGGTTTGTACAATACTCAAAAAAGAAAATTTAAATACACCACATTAGGCAAAAAAGGTAGTATAAATTTATGTTAAATAAATCATTGACTGCTTTTGAACATATACTCCATTTTAACCTTAAAAAAACACTTTTTATTACTAAATCTTTTTGTCACTTTGTAAATATTTTGTTTTTTTGTGGGCGTTTTCTGTCTCTTTGTGGATGTTTTCTGTCCCTTAAGTTTAACTATCAAAGTCACCTTTTTTTGAAAATATAATTAATTATGCATATAAAATTAACACTTTTCTATAAAGTTTTCAAAAGAAAATGGTTTTTTTTTGATTTTTTCACCTATTTTTTCATTGTTTTAATTTTGTGGACGTTTTCTGTCTCAACCGAATGATACAAATTTTTCTTCTATTGTTGGACTGGTTAACTGGTGACATGCAGCTAAAATGGCGTCTTTTCAAATAATAGAAAAGATGGAGTAAAAATATTTGAACCTTTTTCAAAAATAATCACTTTCAAGAAATTTTCTAATAATAATAAATCTTAAACCAGTAAATTTCTTATTATCCAAAAAAAAGAACTGAGCGATATTCGTAGGCCGACGAGTAGTATTAATTTTTTTACTGGCCTACAGAAAATCAATAAAGCGTGCAGAGTGTACTTCTACCGGAAATATTAAGCATTGTACAAAATGTGGTTGTTTAGATTATTTCTTAAGCTGGTAAAATTGGATATCGATAAGAATTATGAAGTAAAATCACCTGAAGATATTATAGATAATCCTAATATAACGATAAGACAAGCAAATGACAGCGATCACGAGAGAATTGTTGATTTATTTCTACAAGGTTTCAGTGGTAAATGGAAATATACATTTAGAGAAGACGAAATGGATGAAGTTAAAAAATTATTCCTTCACGAATTTAGAGCTGATACAACAATAATTCCAAATACATTAGTTGCAGAAGAAAAAGGCAAAGTAGTTGGAATTTGTCAAATGAAATATCCAAAGTATTTTTATTTAATTTTACATTTATTTTCATGGATTTAAAATTTTTTCTATTACAAAAATAAAATCTAGCATTACACCAATGAATTATGACAAATACTATGCTAAATTGTCAATTAGATCTTTATTTATTGCTTTACTCTCAAGTGGAATGTTGGAATATTTGTCTAAAATGAAAGAGAATGAATGCCTGCTTAATATTTTATCAGTTGATCCAGAATGTAGAGGTAAAGGAATTGGTAAAATTCTCTTAAATTCTGCTGATAAAGAAGCAAAGAGAAGAGGATTTAATGTTAGCTTTTCTTCTTATGTTTTAGTTTACTATTTCAATTTAATTTCTTTGCTTTTTGTTTATAGAATATCTTTTTAATTGTTGCTCGTGAAAATGAGGGAGCTAAAAGGTTGTATGAAAATTGGGGTTACATTGCAACTACAGCCTATTATAGTAGAAAAATATTCATATTTGGAGAAACAGTTAGTTGTTATATATATTCAAATATATTTTCTATAGATACATTTGTTTTTTAGGGATATTATAAAATGGAAAAAAAATTGGTTTAATTTAAAACTCTTCTATTGAGAAGGAATGAAAATTCAATGATTTTATCTTTTTCTTATATCTTATTTTGTTCTGTGGTAAGCATGACGAAGTATTTGAATCAATTGACTCCGTTTGCCGATATTTATTCTGTTCATTCCTTGACCAATGTTTTCATTTCTTATGTTTACCCAATCACCAATTTTGTATGTTTAAAGTCAACTTGTTAATATATTATCCCATAATTCTCAGGTAAAAAGTGGTTATATAGATTTTTGTAACCACATGACAGTAGTGTTTACAATTCTCTCATCTAGATTTTTGCATTGAAATCATTATTGCGATTTCTTAATACTTAACACAGCAACCTAAATATGAATAGAAAATCAACTGAACGTTCCTTAATTGTAAGGTCCAGTTATGGAAATAACAAAATGGCTATTCCCAACCAGTATGCTTTTGGTTTAAAATATTTTTTCCTTCTGTTTACCTGTTCCTTAAAAATATTCGCTTCACTAACAGACAAAAGATCATTTCAGTGAATTTGCTTAAAGAAAGCATTTTCAATAATGGAATAAAACTTGATTATAGGAGAGAAAACTCTGTTTGTCGTGAAACGGAAAATAGGGAAAGCAATTCTTTATCCAATGTGCAACAGCACCTATTGAACTGTCAGATTGGACCACTACAAATACAACTTGAAACAATAGAAAAGATTGAAAATGTTTCTCAAGGTATAATTTATTAATATTGTTAGAAAATTTATCTTTTTCAACTACTTCTGAGTATACATTTTCTCTTTTTTATTATTATACAGGTATCCAAAAGAATGTTAATTATCAACCTAATCCTTATCATAATGGTTGTCCTGCTCTTCCATCTATTTCTTATCCTAATGGTTATCCTCCTCCTCAAGCTAGTCCTCGTCCCATTGGCTTTCCTGTTCCTCAACCTAATCCTCATCCTATTGGTTTTTCTGTTCCTCAAGCTAATCCTTATCCCAATAATTGGCTTGTTCCTCAACCTATTTCTTATCCTAATGGTTATCCTCCTCCTCAAGCTAGTCCTCATCCCATTGGCTTTCCTGTTCCTCAACCTAATCCTCATCCCATTGGTTTTTCAGTCCCTCAAGCTAATCCTTATCCCAATAATTGGCTTGTTCCTCAACCAAACCCTTATCCCAATGGTTGTCCTGCTCATCCACCTAATCCTAATGGTTATCCTGCTCTTCAACCTAATCCTTTCTCCACCAGTTATCCCGCCCCTCAACCTAGGCTTTGTCCAAGTGCTCCTTATCCTAACTCTTAATATGGCTCATAATGTCATTAATGACCTTTTATGGATGAAACAGAAATTATGCACACATGTATGTTTTACCCTAACCCTTAACTCAGCACTTGTCTCTGCCTAACCATTTTTGCTACTCTTAACCCTTTGATCAAACTTCTCTAGAAGTACAAATCAATGGCAGTTTGAAATCCAAATTCTGTCCTTGAAATATCTTATTTTTGGCAATAAGAATTGCGTTGGCATCAGTTTTCTGGTTTTTTGTTAAGCCAACGTCTTTATTTTAAATCTCAATCCGAAAATAATATTTAAAGATTGAACAACTTGAAGTGGCAGTATGAACAATGGCTGCTCTTACATTATTCAAACAAGTACTCACCTTTCAATCCAAAAAGTGGAAGTCTTAAAAATGAAATAGATAGTAAAAAAAAAACTTAAAATTAAAGTGAAAATCAGAAAAAAAAGGAAAGAAAACTTTTCAAGGAAAGTCTTTTTATTTCTCTAAGCCTAACCCCTAATGTTATAAAATTAAACACTTAATGCTTTTAAGGCATATGTTGTATTTTTGAATTTAAAAACATTCCTACAGATTTTATATCTTGATAAATATAGTTATTACACGTATTAAAGTTAATATTTCTTCTTTCTATTTTCATACCAATATCCGTTGTAGATTTGTAGTTGTTGTCCCGGTTTTT